TGAACTCAGGAGGCAGAGGTTGTAGTGAGCTGAGATGGTGCCATTGCGCTCTAGCCTGGGCAACAGGGAAACTCCATCTCAAAAAAAGAAAAAAAAAGCCGGGCACAGTGGCTCACGCCTGTAATCCCAGCACTTTGGCAGGCCGAGGCAGGAAGATCACGAAATCTGGAGATTGAGACCATCCTGGCTAACACGGTGAAACCCCTTCTCTACTAAAAATATCAAAAAATTAGCAGGTGTGGTGGCACGTGCCTGAAGTCCCAGCCAATCAGAAGGCTGAGGCAGGAGAATCGCTTGAACCCGAGAGGCAGAAGTTGCGGTGAGCCAAGATTGCACCACTGCACTCCAGCCTTGGCGACAGAGCCGAGACTCTGTCTCAAAAAAAAAGAAAAACCAAAACTGTAATTTGTGTTAATGTTCAAAAGAGGCTGATGGTTGGGGGGTGTCACCTTGGGGTGGCCATGGCATGTGCCTGTGTTGTTTAAAGAATGATGTGTAAGTCTGGACATGGTGGCTCACACCTATAATCCCAATACTTTGGGAGGCTGAGGCGGGTGGATCACCTGAGATCAGGAGTTTGAGACCAGCCTAGCCAATGTGGTGAAACCCCATTTCTACTAAAAATACAGAAGTTAGCTAGGTGTGGTGGCAGGGGCTTGTAATCCCAGCTACTTGGGAGGCTGAGGCAGGAGGTTACAGTGAGCCAAGATCACACCACTGCACTCCAGCCTCAGGAAAAAAAAAAGAATATGTGTATTTAGAAAGGGAGTATGTCTGATGGACCCAGGCAACTGCACTGGGCTTTATGTGAACTTGGATATACCAGAGGCATTGGCTTTTATGGTAAGAGCACAGCATAGATCCCTATTTTCCCCCTACTTCTTATTTGCTTATGGCTATACTGAGTGACCAGTGTTCCCACAAAGAGACAAAAGCACCTGTGGACCTGTTTTCTCCTCTGTGCTGAGGATCTTGGGAGGAGGATGGGCAAGTGGGGGTATGTTGGAGAGGTGGATTATAGTACCTCAGCATAGGAACTGTTTGTAGTTTCATCTGTCACCATCACAGCAGGGCACTGTGACATTTGAAGATGTGGCTGTGAACTTTTCCCGGGAGGAATGGAGTCTTCTTAGTGAGGTTCAGAGATGCCTTTACCATGACGTGATGCTGGAAAACTGGGTACTTATATCCTCCCTGGGTAAGTTCTTCACACCCTCCCCTAATTCCTGAATAAGTCTCTGCCCCTCCTCTTTTTACCGTTGGCAAAACTGACTGTCTCCTGTCAAGACCATGGGCACAGCTTTCTTCTCCACCTCTCTGGATAGGTTTTGTGATTGATAGGTCCGAGGTGTGCATACTGCCCTCCCTCCTTGAGCAGCTTCAATACCTGCTTTGCTACAGACTCTCAGGGAATAAGTCAGAGTCAAGAGTCTTGTAGTCAATCTAATGCATTTCGCCTTGCTTGTCCCCTCATTCTTTGACTTTGTCCATATCTAAGACTCCTGTGTGTCCAGGTTCTACTTAACTTCCTTTAGCTGACATTACTTTATGCCTGCCTGTAGCAGGAATTGTCATCACTCACAATGTCACTGCCTACATAGACGAAAGGTAAGACCCTACTTAGAAATTCTGTTTTTAGTAATTAGTTTCCTTTACTGTGTGTTGTCATGTTTTGAGCCACTGTTGGCTCAAAAACTATCCAGCACATATTGGCAGGAGGAAGAGGATAGGGAGTCCAGTGATGTGGCCTTTGTGACCAGCCAGCATTTCAATTTAATCAGGTGGAAATGGCCATCCTGGCTCATCAATATTTGCTGCCAGAGGCTAGTTGTCCCACTTCTGCCCTGTCTTTCCCTTAGTACTTACGTCATCCAGGTTCCATGTATTTCATCATCTTGGTAGTGGGGTGGAGAGTCCTCAGTGCTACAGAAGATGCAGTTGAATCCAGGCTCAGCCTCATATTGTCAGAGGGAGCTTGTCACTGAGGAGTGGCACCTGGTGGGAGGGCATGAGGTTGGGATTTTATTCAAATCATACCAGAAACCTATTATATTTGATTAGTATTTTTGTGGACAGTAGGCACTCACTGTTTCTGTCCTCTCCATTCTCGAGAGCATCAAACTTGTCAGTTGTACACCTTGTCACTTGTACTCTGATATCCATCCCCCGACGAACATTCAAGTCTCTGGACTCCACATCTCACCCATTTATTTTCTCATGTTTCCTTCTGGAGTGTTCTCCAAAAGTGACATACACATTGTGTATTAATGAGTGTGTACACATTGTTAAACTGTTGTCTTGTAATTATTTTCTTAGGCCTGGACATATCCTTTTATATAGCATTAACATGTCATGAGGTAATTTCCTGCAGAGAAGTGGTTTGCAAAGGAAAGAGTTGTATACCAGGCACCTTGGCTTACACTTGTAAACCCAGCACTTTGGGAGGCCGCTGTGGGCAGATTTCTAGAACCCCAGAGTTCAAGACCAGCTTGGGCAACATGGCGAAACGCCATCTCTACAAAAAGCTAGGCATGTTGGCATGCACCTGTGGTCCTAGCTACTGTGGTGGCTGAGGTGGGAGGATCATCTGAGCTCAGAAGGCAGAGATTGTGCCACTGTACTCCATGCCGGGTGACAGAGTGAGACCCTGGCTCTATTCTCTGTGTTGCATGTATGCTTCTGCCTTTCATATTATATAAAGGTCACAGAGGCCTCCTGCATTCTGTGAACTTTATAGCCTAGTAATGACAGCCTCATCTTCCACGTGATGCCAACATTCTGTTCCTGCAAATATTTCTATGGAGTAATTCCTCAGTTTGACAGGCACACTTGTAGGTGGGCTGTGCCTTCCCACCAGAGTTAACTTGAATTCTTTTCTTGCTTTCAGGTTGTTGGTATGAATCAGAAGATGAGGAGGCACCTTCTAAGCAGAACATTTCTATACAAAGAGTGTCTCAGGTCAGCACTCGTAGGGCAGGTGTGTCTCTCAAGAAGGCTCACCCCTGTGAAATATGTGGCACAGTCTTGGGAGACATTTTGCACTTGGCAGATTATCAGGGAACACATCACAAGCAGAAACTGCACAGGTGTGAGACATGGGGGAATAAATTGTATGATAGTTCAAACCATCAGCACCAGAATCAGTACCTTGGAGAGAAACCCGATAGAAGCAGTGTTGAGGAAGCGTTGTTTGTGAAGAGGTGTAAGTTCCATGTGTCAGAGGAATCATCTGTCTTCATTCAGAGTGGAAAGGACGTTTTGCCCAGCTCAGGATTACTTCAGCAGGAGGCCACTCACACTGGCGAGAAGTCAAACAGCAAAACCGAGTGTGTGTCTCCCTTTCAGAGGGGAAAAACTCATTATAGCTGTGGAGAATTCATGAAACAATCTAGTACCAAACACATACTTGTTCAACAGCAGAGACTTCTCCCTAGAGAAGGATGTTACCACTGTGACTGTGGGAAGTCCTTTAGCAAATATGATAGCTTGAGTAATCATCAGAGAGGTCACACTGGGAATAGACCTTATGAATGTGGAGAATGTGGGAAATCTTTTAGTCATAAGGGCAGCCTTGTTCAGCATCAGCGAGTTCATACTGGAGAAAGACCTTATGAGTGTGGAGAATGTGGGAAATCTTTTAGTCAAAATGGTACCCTCGTTAAACATCAACGAGTTCACACTGGAGAAAGACCTTATGAGTGTGAAGAATGTGGGAAATGTTTTACTCAAAAGGGCAATCTCATTCAGCATCAGCGGGGTCACACTAGTGAAAGACCATATGAGTGTGAAGAATGTGGAAAATGTTTTAGTCAAAAGGGCACCCTCACTGAACATCATCGAGTTCACACTAGAGAAAGACCTTATGAGTGTGGAGAATGTGGGAAATCTTTTAGTCGAAAGGGACACCTTAGGAACCATCAGCGAGGTCACACTGGAGAAAGACCTTATGAGTGTGGAGAATGTGGAAAATCCTTTAGTCGAAAGGGCAACCTCATTCAGCATCAGCGAAGCCACAGTGGAGAAAGGCCTTATGAGTGTAGGGAGTGTAGGAAATTATTTAGGGGCAAGTCCCACCTCATTGAACACCAGAGAGTTCACACTGGAGAAAGGCCATATGAATGTAATGAATGTGGGAAGTCATTTCAGGACAGCTCTGGGTTTCGTATTCATCAGAGAGTTCACACCGGAGAAAAACCGTTTGAATGCAGTGAATGTGGGAAGTCATTTCCTCAAAGCTGTTCTCTTCTTCGACATCGGCGAGTTCATACTGGAGAAAGGCCTTATGAGTGTGGAGAATGTGGAAAATCATTTCATCAAAGTTCTTCCCTCCTAAGACATCAGAAAACTCACACTGCAGGAAGACCTTATGAGTGTGGAGAATGCGGGAAATTCTTCTTCAGTCTCCATGAACACAGGAGAGTTCACACTGGAGAAAGGCCTTATGAATGCAGTGAATGTGGAAAAACATTTACTCGAAGGTCTGCACATTTTAAACATCAGAGACTTCATACTAGAGGAAAGCCTTATGAGTGCAGCAAATGTGGGAAATCCTTTGCTGAAACCTTCAGTCTTAATGAACACAGGAGAGTTCACACTGGAGAAAGGCCTTATGAGTGCAGTGAATGTGGAAAATCATTTCATCGAAGCTCTTCTCTCCTTCGACATCAAAGAGTTCACACTGAAAAAAGTCCTTGTAAGTGAAAGAAATTTGGGGAATTCTTTAGCTAAACCGCTGTGTCTCCTTGATCAGTTCTTATTGAATCAAGACATTATGAATGTGACAAATGTGGGATATTCTTTATGCAGAAGTCTTGCTTTATTACATACAGAAGAGCTTCCACTGCAGAAGTGCCTCTTCAGTACAGTGAATGTATGAAAGCCTTCAGCCGGCTAGGTGCAGTGTCACACCTGTAATCCCAGCACTTTGGGAGGCCGAGGCAGGTGGGTCACCTGAGGTCAGGAGTTTGAGACCAGCCTGACCAACACTGAGAAACCCCGTCTCTCCTAAAAATACAGAATTATCTGGGCGAGGTATCTGTCTTTTATGCTGGATATTGCAGTCTGCTCAGTACTGCTGAGGGTAATCTGTCCCCTAGGTCCTACAGCCATGTGCCCTGATATGCCAAGTTTCATCAGGTGGTATCCCAGGTTATGAGACTATAGCAGATATATAGTACATGCCTGCAATCCCAGCTATTGGGAAGCTGAGGCAGGAGAATCACTTGAACCAGAGGTTGCAGTGAGCTAAGGTTATACTATTGCACTCCAGCCTCGGCAAAAAAAGCAAAAATACCCGTCTCCAAAAAAAAAGATTATGTTGGAGCTGCATGGCATTTTTCACCCTGTCCTGTTCCCTTGCCAGATTTATGTGACTGCCAGTTATCTGGCAAAAGCCATTTATGTCTGCCACGTGGTAGGTGTTCAAAGTGCATCATTCACCGATGATGTTCTGGAAGTAAACCTTGATTCTCCTCCTCTGGCCAGAGGAATTGGTGAGTAGTCTCAGCTGTCATTCCTTTCTCATTTCTGATGAGTGAGACCATGGATCTAAGTACTGGTCCATAGGAGTCGTCTGTTGGCTTGAAAATATGGACTACTTTTTTCAGGGATTTTAGGGGTCTTATGTGATTCTTTAGGTAGAATTTTTTTCAGCCCTTAAGCCTCTAACCAAAGAACATTCTGCTTCCCATTGCTCTGATTTGGGCAGTGACTAAGGCCTCATTGTTTAAGCCTCCTTCAATCTTGAGAGTTGTATTTACTCTATGGGGTGGTTTGGAAGCAACTGTGTTCTGCTGTCATAAAGGGGCAAATAGCTTTGGTTGGGATCACTAGATTTTGTGTGCCTCGGGACAATATGATGACAGAACATACTGTCTCTTCACTTATGCCATGGTTTTCATGGCTGCCCAAGTCCTCCAAAGACTCCAGAACTTAATTTTTGACTAGATAATTCCAGTAATTTCTGGGTTTATAGGTCAACCTGAGAAGGGAACAGTGTTTGTGACATCATCTGGTGCTTCTAAATTCAACATGAAATCTTCTCTCTTTTACGCGGGATATTGCAGTCTGCTCAGTACTGCTGAGGGTAATCTGTCCCCTAGGTCCTACAGCCATGTGCCCTGATATGCCAAGTTTCATCAGGTGGTATCCCAGGTTATGAGACTACAGCAGAAAATCATAATTTATAGAATTTCTGCATTTATAGGCAGTGGAGGAGACTGCAAGAACAGAGTTGGAATACACATCTTTAAAAAGGAGATCTACAGTGATTCAGTCACTATGTATGCGGTGGACAGTCAGGTGCAGAACCTCCATAATTATTAATCTTGTGTAGCTGAGACCATTGTCAAAGGAAATAAAGGTTTTATGGATTCCTGTACCCTTTCTCAACTGTTCACCTCAAGGTTATTCCTGCATTGGAAGGAGGAAGAGGATAAGGAGAAGGGAGATCTCTTAGTCCAGTAATATGATCTTTGTGACCAATCAGTGTTCCAATTTAATCAGATGAAAATTGCCTTCCTGGCTCATCAGTATTTGCTACTGCAGATACTAGGTGCCCCACTTAGGGCATGAGGAGATTTTGTATAGTTGCCTAGCGTATTTGGCAAAAATAATGGGAAATCCATGTTTTTCTTTCTTTCTTTCTTTTTTTTTTTTTTTTTTCCTTTTCCTTTTAAGACAAAGTGTTGCTCTGTGACCCAAGCTGGAGTACAGTGGCGAGATCAGAGTTTACGGCACCCTCTAACTCCTCAAGCAGTCCTTTTCTCTCAGCCTCCCAAAGTGCTGGGATTAAAGGCCTGAGCCATCGTGTCCAGCCCACATTTTTCTTTTTTTTTTTTTTGCTTTTTTTTTTTTTTTTAAAGATGGGGGTTCACCATGATGGCCAGGCTGGTGTTGAACTCCTGACCTCAGGTGATCCACCCATCTCGGCCTCCCAAAGTGCTAGGATTACAGGTGTGAGCCACCATGCCCAGCCCAGCCCACATTTTTCTTTTGAACCAATTATTTAAAGCTGTAATAAGGTATAAATGACATTCAGTAACTATACATATTTAAACTGTACCATACAGTAAGTATAGACTTTCATAGAAACCCACGAAAGTATAACTTTTTTTTTTTTTTTTTTTTGAGACGGAGTTTCGCTC